CCATGGCAAGAGCTAGGTTTTAGAAAAGGTCCCAATATGGAAGTGACTATTGCCGTAAACAATCTTCTAAATTTGCCAAAAAATGTTACATGTAGCCCTTGAAAGTGCTAAAAATAAAAAGATTTAGTGAACAAAACTACAGTACCATAGTGTAGAAACAAAACATTTTTTTATAAAAATAAAATTCTAGTTTTCTTACAACACATTGAAACGCGACCCTACAAAATTACAACTAGTTCAATAAATATTTTACAGACTTTGACAACGAAGGCACAGCATTACACCAAGAGATAAAAAAGTGACTAATGTCTCATTCAATTATACTGTAAATTAAGCTCACCCATCATCTTTTATAAATCTTCCTTAGTTCTCATGACATCAAGGTCGCTTGTGGTGTTCCCCAAGGCTCACATTTAGGTTCGTTGTTATTTCTCACTTACTACCTTTCTCTATCTGTCCTCTTTGTTCGTAAATTTGTTCTGGTTATATAACAATCATCGCTTCTACTGTAATGATTGTTACGTAAAAGTCTTTCATTTCAAGGGCATTTTTCTAAACACCGAGTATGTAGTGTCTGTGACTAGGATGTTGAGTTTTCTATTGTTGCCAGAATATTTCCAGTTTCACATATTCCATCACTATAAAATAAACTGGGACATTGAGTTTTTTAAGTCAATAATGTATTAGTTCAGTTTTAATCAGTCATTTAATTTTTTATATAAATTATTAATTCATGTCAAAGTTTGAGCTGTATTCAATTAAAAACAACACGTGAGCACAACAGCAGCAGCAGCGTTGTGTGTTTTCTGACAACGCTGTTTTGTGATCCTTGACTTAAAATTACACCCTCACTATCTTATTAAGTACAATATAAATATCAAAATATCAACAAACCAGTTGTGCCTACCACATACTGCAAGATAAATTCCAAATGAGTTTGAAACGAGCTTAGTTGGAACAGTTATTAGTGGCATGAAACTGAAGAAGATTTTGGAAGCCTCAAAAGATCATCACTTGATACCATCAGGGTTGCATCAATATAAATTCTTACGCAAGCAACAAAACAACAAATTTCTCCATAGGGAAATGTATCCAAAAACATACCTGAAGAACATCGCATATATGATTGAAAACAACATAATATTGATTGTATTGTATGCAAAACGGTGCCGTTAAACGTTTGTTTAAACAAGCGGATAGTGCTGTACCGAACAAGGAAAATGTTACAATTCCATATCTTAAACAAACCAAAATTGTATTTTTTATGCTAACTGTGTTTATAAGTTGGATACTGTCTTTGCCATAACCTAGGGCACTGGGTGAGTGTGATAGAAAGAGTTAGAATAAGACTGTTGTAGCGCAAACTCGGATATTTTGGGACCCACCTGGTCTTCGTAGTTTAGTCGTCAATCAAACGTTTGAGGGCAAGCCAAGATTTGGAAAATATAAGGGTTTATTTCCTTGGACTAATTCATATTAAAACATCATAACTACTATTCAGAGGATGGTTTTGCAGATAATTAGGTACATACTCATAATTATAACTCGACAATAAATTGCAGACTTATGTAATGTTCTAAATGCACTTCTAATACCTCGTTTGGATTTTAAATATAACCTTAATCGAAAACTAAAACAACCAGTTAGAATGAATTTTAAATGTTTTGTTTATTTTTTATTTAATTTTCATTGTTGTCTTTAACGAATATTAAAACGCGACCTTAATTACTTACAGCTCCTATGATTACTTACACTGCTTATGATGGCTTTTACGCGGCCTATGATTACTTCATCAGTGATTTTAAACGGTTTATCTATCTATCTTCTATCCATCTATAATATTAAAACGAAACAGGGTTTTTTTATTTCACGATTCTGAATCAACCACTCGACGGATTTTCATGATTTTTGTGTTGAAAGAAAGATAATTTTGAGAACTAGGGAATGTCGAAGCCATAATTTTAGTTTAGGGTCCCAGTTATTTAGAAATTAGGTTTTAATTTTTGAAAAGTCTAGCAGCCGACGCTAAGATTCTAAACTAGCTTTTGGTGTAATATAATTTTGTTTAACATAACATCTGTAAACATTCAGCGTTTGTAACACAAATTCAGCATTTGGATAAAATTAAAAGACATAGGCCTACTAAGGGTTGACTTATTTATACTATGTGTAATGCTAATCATTGATACGTTCAATCCTTCGATAAGAGGATGACAGATTATTTAATATATTTTAATATATTATTTTACATAAGTAAAATACTAGGATGTTCAAAGGATTTTTTAAATAAATCTTTGTAATCTTCGGTTTGTTTTAGTGCAATATAATTTTCTTTTAACTAACAGCTGGTTAAATATAAAAATGCTCTGTAGAACTATAAGGTAATTTTATTTACTCTGATTTGTCATTGATTTTTAGGAAATAAGTAAGATTAGTAGACCACCGAGAAAAGTAACACAATCGATGTATACAAGTCGAGGCTCTGTACACGAGTCTTAAAAAAAGGATATGCAAATTATTATACTGCTCAACTTTTTTAGGAAAGGGTAGGAAAATCCATTTTTTACACGTTTTAATTCGTTTTGGTTTGTTTACAATCAATGTTTTTGAATGATTAAACTTTGTTTGGATTAGGCCCGGAAATATTGATGTCATAAAGAAGGAGATCAAGAATCCTCAGGAATGGAATTTTAAATTACCACCACAACCCAGACGGGTTTTATCCAAAGATATACAGATATGAATTATATAGATTGAGCACAACGTCATAATTGACCTAGGATACTGCAATTAGACGTGTTTATTAACATCTGTTTGACCACTTGAGTATCTTTTGTCGGCTGCCGCAGCTACTTCAACTTGAAGGTCGTTTATTGTTTCGGTTGAATGATATAAGGCAGCTGTTGACTTTAGAATTGTACATTAATTGAAATAATGCATTGCTTTAGTTAAACTGTGTACCAGCTATAGTTTTGAAACTACTTAGGGGAACTGTTCGAGATGTTATGTGAAAATGTTCGTTTATTCATTAAGAAAGCAAAAATTGCAAGAGTGGGAACATTTTTTAGTTGCCACGTTCAAAAAACTGAAGACAATTCGTGTAATTAGTGACCAACGGCCTTGTAATTTCTTTCAAGGCTGGAAATGATGGGTTTTCATCATACTGTCCGGAAAGCAGCCGTTTTTAGTTCTCTAAATCGTCAGCAAAATCATAATTAATTGTCGGGTAACTTCAAATGGGAACAGAAAAAACATATGGTAAATATTTCGGTTCGCTAACTTCAAAATTGTATCAGTGCATTATGAAAACGATGCTAATCACCATAGTGATGAATGGGTATGTCTATGTAACGATATTTAAAGTTATGTTTGTAAACAACAGAAATGTAGACATTGATGACGTCTTAGTATAACCTCAAATTATGTGGTTTAATTTTGTAACGGTTAGAAGAAAATAGTTGTTCATCACACGGAGCAAAAGTGTCTTTTTGGTACTTAATCGTATTTCCAAACACGATTGTGTACAAAAAAGAGCCACTTTCGCTCCAAGTGACGAAAATAACTTTTTTATAAGCAACCGTGAGGGTTCGGAAAAAATGGAAAATGGTCAAGTTTTGAATTTAAACAGCACATAAGTTAGGCATATTATCTTCACATTAAAATCAATATCTAGGTGTAAAATGCAGTTGTCTGCTTGCAATATTGAGCGGAGCAATCATATTCATCTAATACTTTTCCAAGGCTACATCTGTTTTACGTAAATGGAATGTCTACTTGCAGTATCCAAAGACAATGCTAAATCTGGTTTACGTAAATGGAATGCCTATTTGCAGTATCCAATGTCAATTGATTTGTATATTCATTTTGTAGAAAATTGTGCTTAACTGCATTAATCCGATTGTTCTTTCCTATTGTTCTGTATTTGTAATGTGTTGGTTTATAAGATTTATTGATAATGACATGTTACGACTAATGTGTTTACCTTTTTATTGTTATCTTGTCATGGCGGCCATCAACCTATAAGACCCATGCTAAATTTCTTAATTGTAAATTAGCGTAGATAAAAGCTCCGTAGTCCGATGTGTACCATTTCAGATCTATACTATATCCCATAGTTGGTTACTATGAATGCGTGCTAAATTTCGTGCGGATTGCTTTAGCCGTTCAGGAGGAGTATTTGTAAAACAAATAAAAGTAGGCCTAGTATAAGAGCTTCACTCACTCCGCTCAATAATCAATAATACAGTAATCTAACTCGAACGTTTGCACTCGTGATCAACAATGTAATTTGCAATAAAACGTTTAGAGGATCATCATCCTGGTTAGGACCGTTATCAAAAGAAGGAAAAGGAAATTGCCATTATCAGCCTTAGATAGCAAACGTCGAATCGAACCCTTCACTGAAATTTACTCTTTTGAAATGAATCCAGAATTAATTTGTCTATTATACTTTGCTACTAATTTTAAATTTGATGTAACCAAATTTTGTACAACTAGAGATAATGATTGACTTTTAAACTACTATCAATACTTAATGTATTTGTAAACAGTGCAAGCAATATATTAATAATAACACAGTCAATCGCTGATACCAGATATTTAAAATTTAATATTTTATCAAGTAAACTCAAGATTACTAGTCTAGACTAGTTGGCCTTCTGTATGAACAACTATATTAGGGCACACTATACCTTCTGAAAACGATTACCATACACAACTCCCAACTAAGCACTAGTTGAAAAACGAAAAGGGCGTACTTAGTGACCCAAACTGTTGCCAAAGTTTCTTAAAGCTATTATTTGGGGGTTATTTTGTTTTGGAGTAAATATTGTGACTGTGTCCGTTACTATTTTAACTTGCATATAAATTTAGTTTTGGCTTGTGAAACGGAACTGTTTATATTACATATAGAAAATACACACAGAATATAAGTATCTGGGAAATACCCATTAATCCTCAAACCCATTGTTACCTTCCAGGGACTTGCTACCTAGGCTTACCTGAGGTTTAAACGAACTCCAACTAGAATATCCACATTCTATTGACACACTCTATGCAGACCTAAATAAACCAATAACTGGGAGAAGCACTGTAGTGAATATTGCTAGTATTTTCTCCCGCACCAAGAAATAGTAGGAATACGAGCACCCAAACAAAACAGATGATTTTGCACGGGACTGAAGTGAGCAGACGGCACGGGAGGCGCTCACAGCAACAATCAATACAAAGTTGCGCGCGCTTCATACACAATCAGCTGGCTAGACCGTCTACTTCTTGTTCGGTGCGTTTAAAAAATAAGAAAATCAACAAACTTATCTAAACACATTTAGTTATTTCTGTTTTTTTTTTTTTAGAAAATCTTAGTTGCTCTCAAACTAAAGTGATAATAAGTTCTTATTCGTCTGTTATTTATTTTATTAATATTTCAGTAAAATGGATTTAAAATAAATTTCAGAAAATAATATAGTTTGAAATTTATAATAATGATTAAACTTCCAGCAATTCAATGGTCAAAATTACATTTCCGTTTGCAAAAACATTTATGACAACTAGGCAAAGCTACTAAAAAAATATGAACATTTTAAAAGTCATCAAACAAAATGGCGGCCTTTAAAATATTGTTTCTTAAATAACTCAAAAACCGTTGAGTTTACAAAAAATTTACAAGAATAACTTTTTTAAGAAAATTTCAGTACACTTACGATATTTTTTGTTATATTGCATCATTATTTCGATACTACTGGACCGAATTATACACAAGTTGTACCAAAAGAAATGTTATTGGTCCTATATGTGCAGGTTTTATTTGTATTTTGATAATATTTATGTAAATTGGGTCAAAAATGGAAATTCAACTTTTATTATGGAGATTTAACATGGGGTTGATTCCACTTATCAATAGTGTTAATAAGTGGAATCAACCCCACTCCAGTATTAATAGAAAAGCATGTTTTTTAAAAACTTTTTTTCTCAGCTCCTGTGCATCACAGAGAAAATACAAGTTTACTGTTAGAAAGATATTTGCCTGAAGATGTGCAGTCCCTTTATAAATAAAAGTAGGCTAAAAATAAGCACAAAAATTAATTTAAAAAAATTAACTCGGGCCTTATGGGTTGCCATGTTGGTGACGAATTACAACAAAACAAAATATAAATACCCCCGCTGCAGCAAACCTGTCGACTTAGGGAATTTCCATTTGCCTGGATTGATTTTTAATTATTAATCTATTAAATTAACATTTATGTTTAACGAATACCTAGGTTAGCTGCTACAGGGAAATTAAAAAAGTGGGTTTTTTATTAAAATATCAATAGCTTAGTATCAAATAAATGAAAACCCCAGGTTTGGTCAAAATTTATCCATAAACAAGCCAACTACAACATATTATAATATTCTCCATAAGAATAACATGGGTATTTCAAATTAACAATTTTTTGAATTTTCTCCGTAACCAATTATTGTACAAAAACACTTTAATATACAAAAATATTTGTTTTTTTAAGCTCTTCAAAATGGTCTGGTGAAAAATTTATAAATTTTTGTTTTGAGGGTAAAAAATGAGAAAAGTCCATTTTTACCCCATAAAACCCCGTTCCCATGGTCCGATCATGCTGGTTCGTGAACTCATTTAAGTTTATCCCGCCTTACACCTTCAAACCAAATTTTATCACAATCGGACAAAAATTACGATGGACACACAAATATATATATATATGTATATACAGGGTGTCCGGTCATAAGTGTTAAATAAAATTTTGCATTAAACTACATGGTAATGGTGACAGAATGTCGCAAATTTGAGGTTCCCAACTTCAACAGTTAGAGAATAACAAATAAATTAAGATTTTTCAAAAATTATTGTAGTTGTTATGAAAAAGGTTATTTTACTCTGTTAAAAATGCACTTACTGTCAGTTTCAATGTCATTTTCAGAATCCTCATAAAATTTTAAATAAATATAACACATAATCGTTGGGGTACGTAAAAATATTCTATTTAAAATTCTTCGTTAAACAAATTATTTTTATATCGACGAAAATGTAAATAACATACAGCAATTTATTTCTCGGTTGTTGAGTTCCGGAGGGGTTATCAAATATGACTAAAAACTTCCTTATTTAAAGGGCTTTACTTAATGTATAACAACATTTACCTACTGTAAAATCCATGGTGAATTTTACGCACTATTGTGAAAAATCACGGTCAAGCCAAAACAGATATTGTAAAAAATAATAAAATTTTACTTACTATTTTATGAGCTGACCACTGATGATGAGGGTATGTATAATTTATGATTGACCAGACTACACTTCCATCAAACTAAAGAGTTTTTTTTTAAGACTTTGTAAAATGTGTAATTAAAAAACACAACACATTAGTAAAAAACATAATACACACTACAATTTAAATATGAAATGATAGTTAACCCATTAAACAAATCAATGACATACTTTGTCCGAAGCACAAACAAATCACAGTTTGGGTGTAAAGTGCCCACCGTTTTCCCGCAAGCAGGCCCTAGCTCTTTTGCGGATTGCGCCAACTGTGACCTCATACGTCAATTTTTCCCTTACTTTCCCAGCAGCCTCAAAGATTCTCTCCCGTAACTCAACTTCAGAGTTCACAACAGTTGAGTAAACTAGACTTTTCATGTAACCCCAAACAAAAAAATCTAACGGGCTCAAGTCTGGAGATCGAGGAGGCCATGTCACACTTCCTCCACGTCCAATCCATGTCGGGTAGTTTTGGGATAGCCACAACCGAACGCTTTCAGTAAAATGTGGTGGAGCACCATCCTGCTGAAATATGATTTCAGCTCTTTGTTGAGGATCAATTTCATCCAACAACTGAGGTAGAGAGTGCTGAAGAAAATCTAGATATAAATCACCGTTCAGATTTCCTTCGAAGATATGAGGACCAATTAACCGATCTCCAATCACACCTGCCCACACGTTGATCCCAAACCTTTTTTGAAAAGAAGCTTCTCTGGAGGCTTTTGGATTTTCATTATTCCAAAGATGCATATTGTGACTATTTATCACACCTTCTCTGGTAAAACGGGATTCGTTAGTCCATAGTATTTTTTTAAGGAAGTGATATTCAACAATATCACGTTGAAGAAGCCAGCGGCAGACCTCCTTTCTGGATTCGAAGTCACGAGGCTCCAATCCTTGGACCTTTGTAAAATGATACGGATGGAAGTTATTGTCCTTTAACACTTTATGTACTTTCCACCGGGACATACTAGTTTCAAGGGCAAGCTGCCTAACACTAGTAGTAGGATTATCCATAACTCTCTGAATTACACCCTCTTCAGCTGCAACATCATGCACAGGTCCTACTTCTTTCTTCTTCTTCTCAACCGATCCTGTTTCCAGCAAACGTTGATGCACTCTAGTAAACACCTGAGTACTGGCGGTGGTGCGATCAGGATACCGATTCTGGTACTCTCTCTGAGCAGCCGACGCATTACCGTTACACAAACCATAAATAAAATGCATTTCAACATACTCCCGAATCGAAAGAGACATAGTTGACCGATTACTGTCCAAATGTGACTGATAGATCGTTTTAAAATATGACTACTGGTTCGCTTTGTTTTCTTATCGCTTGGATAAAGTATTGTTATCAGTAAAATACCTGAATCTATTGACTAAATCCATTCAACAAAATAGAAATTCCGGGGGATAATTTAAATCTTATATGAAAATTATACGATAACCGTAACTTTATCACAAACACATTTTACTACTATGTTTCTTTTCTTAGCTGGATAGTTATAAACAAAGCGTTGCATGCGAGAAAAAAATACAAATTATTTGTTGCCTGCACTTAAATGTATTATTCTTCACAATAGATTTTCTTTGCCCTACCATGTTTTTTTCACAATAATGATCGAATTACATTAGGAAATTTGAAATACGGTAAAAACTATTATACACCATTGTAAAGCCCTTCAAATAAGGAAGTTTTTAGTCATATTTGATAACCTCGCCGGAACTCAACAACCGAGAAATAAATTGCTGAATGTTATTTACATTTTCGTCGATATAAAAATAATTTGTTTAACGAAGAATTTTAAATAGAATATTTTTACGTACCCCAACGATTATGTGTTATATTTATTTAAAATTTTGTGAGGATTCTGAAAATGTCATTGAAATTGACGGTAAGTGCATTTTAAACAGAGTAAAATAACCTTTTTCATAACAACTACAATAATTTTTGAAAAATCTTAATTTATTTGTTATTCTCTAACTGTTGAAGTTGGGAACCTCAAATTTGCGACATTCTGTCACCATTACCATGTAGTTTAATGTAAAATTTTATTTAACACTTATGACCGGACACCCTGTATATATCTATATTTATATACATATATAACAATTTGAACGAATATTTGGTGAACGTGTTTTTGGCCTCTGGGGACATCAAAATGAAAAAGTAAATGGGTCCCGGGCTTGGTCTTACCATAAGACCTACGGTAATAGCTACTTCCCTATAAGGAAATTCGCTAATAAAAAATTAATACCCCCGCCGCAGCAAACCTGCAGACTAAGCGAATTTCAACTTGTCTGATTACTTATTTACGAAAATATTTTCATAAATAAGATATTTATTCCCAATTTAAATAACATTAGATTTAACGAGTGCTTAGATTTGCTGCTACGGGGAAGATAAACATTGTTTTTTGACCAAACGTCAATAGTATAGGATGAAATAAATAAATTTGCCAAAATTGATCAACATATATCCATAAACAAGTAAATTACAACAGTTTTCATTTTCTCCATAAGAATAACATGGGAATTTTAAATTTGCACTTTTTTATTATTTCTCCGTAACCATTAGGCATACAACAATGCTTCAATATACTAAATTATTTATTTTTTTAAGCTCTACAAAATAGGTGGGAAAGAAATTCCAAAATTTTATGTTTTTAGGGTCAAAAATGAGAAAACCCCATTTTTACCCCATAAAACCCCCCATAAACCCCCGTTCCCATGGTCCGATCATGCTGGTTCGCGAACTCGTTTGAATAAATGTAGGTTTACACGTTTATAACAAATTTCATCAAAATCGGATAATTTTTGTTTGAGTTATCGGAGCTAACGGACATATATATATTATTATATATACATATTATATTACATAT